GGCTCTGATGTGAACTTAATTTCATCAAAATCAGTTTTGTGCATCGTCCCAGGCTCAGGTTTGCCATTGATGGTAATCTTTATGTTTTTCACATTTAGTCTGGGGTGCCTTGAGATTTTTCTACTTTTAACCCTTTTGCTGCCAAGTCCATACATCAAACAGGAAGGGGGGGGGGGTGGTTTACACACGTATATATCTGACAAGCCAACTCCTGCCTGTCAGTTGGAAGCACTCTAGTGGCTGTGCAGCCACCCGATTACTTCCACAGCCCCCGTAACGTACGTCCAGACCCCCATCCTCTCCGTTCTGTGCTTGCCTATCTATAGGCTTGGGATCAGCATAGCGGATGTCAGGTGGGGGGGGGGAGGAAGCTGAGTGGACACACGTCTGCTCTCCTCTTCTTGTTGCTGTCCCTAAAGCAACATGTAAAACGTCACTTCTGGGTCCCCGTCAGTTTCTCTGGCCATGAAGGCCCTGATCTGCACTGAATTAAATTCAGTGGAGCACAGGGGAGACATTCAGGGTCTTTTAAACCTCATATATCTAATTAAAGAGAACCTGTCACAAAAAAAAAAAAAAAAAAACAGTTCAACCGCCTCCCGCCCACCATATAAAGGAGATGACAGATGGGCAGCAGTTCTCTCGTTCTGGATCAGATCACCGATCAGTGGAAAGAGCCAATGACGTCGTCTCTGTCATGTGATCAGCTGTGTCCAATCACAGCTGATTGCTTGTAAACAAGCTAATGCCGGTTATCAGCATTCCTCTCCTCACACCTATGCAGTTTGTGTTTCATGCGTTTCTGCAGTGTGTTTTGCATTGTTGCACATGTAATTTTGATGTATTTTTGATGCGTTTTGGAGAAGTTTTTTTTTAACTTGTTGCTAAGCAGAATAAATGCAAAAACGCATCAAAATGTACTACATGCTTTTCTGCAGCATCTCCATTAAAGTCTATAGAACCAAAAATGAAATTTTTTGGGTTAAAAAAAAAAAAAAAAAAAAGTCCCTGAACCTTTCCAAAAAAACGCACCGGGTAAAAACGCGGAGATGTGAACCTGTCCCATAAGAAATCATGTTAAATGGACTGCTCTGCGTTTCTGCAAAACACAAAGGAAAAAACGCTTAGGTGTGAACCTAGACTTAAGAGGACTTGTTTTTCTTTTGCAAAGACACAGGTTAACTTTACAATATTAGAAAAAAAAAAAAAAAAGCTTACACTGTACAGGGAGAGAAAAAAAAATACCGTTGGAAACAATATAAGTTGTATATTGTTGATTTAAAGTGGTTGTAAACCTCAGACATAAAATATGAACAAAGCATATCCCTTTGCACTGACTGCCTCCTGGCCCTTTAAGAGTTCTGAAAGCTGGGAGACGGGCATTCGGGTCATGTGATGCTGTGATTGGCAGTCACATGATTGGAAAGCTCCTGTTCACAAGCTTGCATCGGGAGCTTACTGATCCACGTTGGCAACCATACTGGGAGTGTGCTCTCAGTGCGGTAAGTTGTTTTAACAGGCCGCATATATTTGGCCGCTTGGCGTTAAGGCCGACCCGCTCAGCAGCCACAGCGTTTAACAGCACTAAGTATCATTTCTGTCTGCTGCTTCGTTCCTCTGATATCAGCATGAATCCCTTCTAACAAGTTTTCCTGACACCAAGAGAAAAATGGTGACAGGGGAGGGACCTCCAGCAGATTGACAGCCTCAGCTCTGTTCCTGTGAGCTCTGTGAAGGGGTGTGTCCCTTCCCTCCAATCAACTCTCAGAGCTGTCTTCATTGAGCTGTCCAGTGTGTAATTTCAGCTCCCTTTTTTCTGCACTTTCAGACAAGCTTTACATAAATTCTGGACTTTGAATTGATTCAGAGAAGAGACCTCTGCAGATAATCAGGTACAACATATGTAGGAGGATTTGTTTCATCTCTGTGCATCACCTGAGGCCAGTCCCGGTCCCGGTATATGGAAGAGTTTACAACCACTTTAGCATGGAACAGATGACAGAAGTACAGCAAAATGTAGTCACTTTTTGCATACCTGGTGAATATGTAAACAATGGTGATAAAAATTACCACAAACATCACCGCAAATGCAATGAGGATTGCTTTAGTAGGAATCTCAGCATTTCCTGGGGAAATAGTCATTCCTATAAAACACAATTAATATGACAAGTGTTAGAGTCGGCTGTTAGGTAGAGTGAATAATAAAGTTAAAGTGAACTTCTGTTCAATGAATCCAATCTGGCACCGCACATGAAAAGCCGGCAGCTACAGCTACCCGCAGAGTGCCCCAAGAGACCACAATCTGGGCTCTAATGCATGCAAACCTTGACCGATGTCTCCCGGCTGTCAGAGTGAGCGGCACCATACCAACATCCCCTAATGGCCAAACTCAACGGCCAATGCGAAGGAACGGAGCGCGCCTGCTTTTCAGGAGTAATGCCAGTTCTGTGTAAAGTGACCACACATACTATGGAAAACAATAGTCTGCTCAGAGGAATTGTGAATATTCAACCTTTCACATACTGGAAGGCGACAAAAAGAAATAAAAAAGGATGGATAAATAGGTGATAATATACTAAATAGGTGATCCAGAAACAAAGGAATAGTGTACTGATGTAGAAACACTACAATAGGAGCTCTGCAAACACCAGACAATGATCACTACAGGTCACCACCATAGTCAAAGATGAACTCCAGGTTCCAGATATAATTGTAAAAAAAAAAAAAAGGGACACAAATTAATTCAGCTCTGTGCTCATTAGTATAATATATATGTTACTATGTGTATGTTCATTAATATATATATATATATATATATATATATATATATATATATATATATATATATATATATATGTTACTATGTGTATGTTCATTAGTATAATATATATGTTACTATGTGTATGTTGTTCATTAATATAATATATATGTTACTATGTGTAGGTTCATTAGTATAATATATATGTTACTATGTGTAGGTTCATTAATATATATATATATATATATATATATATGTTACTATGTGTATGTTCATTAATATATATATATATATATGTTACTATGTGTATGTTCATTAATATATATATATATATATATATGTTACTATGTGTATGTTCATTAATATATATATATATATATGTTACTATGTGTATGTTCATTAATATATATATATATATATGTTACTATGTGTATGTTCATTAATATATATATATATATATATGTTACCATGTGTATGTTCATTAATATAATATATATGTTACTATGTGTATGTTCATTAATATATTTAGAATAAGGCATCGTTCAGACATGTAGCTGCAGCTCTAAAAAGAGATGAGGATGGCTGACAGGCGGCTTGGGAGACAATATGTCACCTTCTTACCACCTGTTGAAACCCTTAAAATGCCAAACCATCACGCCACAACTGCATGCATTGCAGCCCCATTGACTTGAATGGCTCACATTTGGTGGCACTGCTGCCCACTGATCATGTCAAAACAATTTCATTTTTGCCGCAAAGTATCATGACCGTAACATGTATACAGCCCTTTTTTTTTTAGGTGTGCGGCAAAACCATGGCTTAGCCACCTGTTTTTACTCTCCCCTGGCCACCTGTGTGAACGAGCCCTAAATGTATTTTGCAAGCTGTATAAATATCCAATTGTGAGTCAACATCCAATGCTTGCTGTCCCTACACAGCAGAGCTCGGTGTCAGGGTAAAGCAGCCAGTTATGCTGCAGTGCTCATGCACCAACAACGGATATGCCAATAAGGTGAAAGAGCAGACAGAGATGAGTTCATCAATCCCGATTTATTGTTCAGTCACAACCTGGGGGAAGGACAAGATCTGTAAGTGTTACTGAACTGCATCAAAGAAAAATTGATTTTCCTCTTCGGTCAGACAGGGCTGTGCTGCGTAGCAGAGCTGATTATATCTCAGAACTGGATGGACATAATTACACATCCTTTGCCAGGTAAATGAACCTGTATTTCCTCTGAGTATTTAGTGGTTTACCTGGAGTTCAGCTTTAACTGTGCACAGGTTCATGCTACTATAAATGCACACACATTACAACTACTACATAAAATCATACCATTTAGACTGCTGTGCAGAAATTGAAGAGCACCAAAAAAAAATAAACAGACTTGTTAGAAGCTGAAAGCATAATATAAGTAAGTTGCAGCAAATGCACTTCACATAATTACTAGGATTGTGTTACGTAAGATCACAACCATAAGGCCTCCTTCACAAGGGCGTTTAGCCGCATACACTAGATTCAGAATCAGCGGGTTCTTGTGGTTGGAATGACATGTGCATGCGCATAGTGGCAGCCACCCAAAGTATGGACCAGCTTGGCAGAAGATGTCTGTTCCATGTAACTGCCCACCAAGCTGTTACCTGCACTAGGGACAGATGTCCACGCCTAGACAGTCAGATCCACCGATTCTTGCCACTGGAATCCAGTGTATGCGGATAAACGCTTGTATGAAGAGAGTCCTTAACCCCTTCAAGTCCGAACACTTTCACCGCCTTCCTGTCCAGTCCAATTTTCAGCGCTATCACACTTTGAATGACAGTTGCAGTCCTGCAACACTGTACCCATATGAATTTTTTAGCATTTTTTTGAGACAGATAAAACTTTATTTTGGTGGTATTTATTCACCACTGGGATTTTTAGTTTTTTTGCTATGTAAATGAAAATGTCCAAAAATTTTGAAAAAAAAGTGTTTTTCTTATACAATTTTGAAAATAAATAATATTTCATCATAAATCTTGTCCAAAATTTATTCCGTTAACTTTTTAGTTAAAAAAAAAAAAACAAAAAAAAAACAACCCAAATTAGTTTATAACCAAAAATTATAATTTTTAAACTTTTTTTTTTACATTATTTTTTATTTATTTTATTTAATTTTTTTTTTATGTACTGTCGCCCTAGCAGTACAGTGTCACCATGGTGACACTGTACTACTTGTGGAGGGTGATGAAGATTTTTTTTTTTTTTTTTTTTTACACCGATTGCTTTTACACCCATAAAGGCTGTAAAAGCAATCATTTCTCCTCCTCTCTTGCTGCATTCTTGCAGCCATTTAGAACTACTGTGAGGGCTGCGATTGGTCACAGCTTGTCACATGGTACAAGGCTGGTGTGAATAGCCTTGTACCATGTGATCTCTGTGATCATTCACAGATTTCACACGTAGTAAGAAATGATGCGAGAAGTGACATCTTGCTTACTACTCTGCATGTGATCACCGATTGGCACCTCACACACAGGTCCCATCCGATGAACGGTGTTCCATTGTGTCCGGAGGACACAGCGGGCACCGGATCACGGTGCTGCGCGCTCCCAGGGAGCGCGCACAGGCAGGGGGTGGGGAGGCCTTTTATAAACAGCCACCCGCCCCTGCACTGCCAACGTCCGGCCATTTATATACAATGGCCTGACAGGAGGTGGTTAATGATGATGTAGGAGCCTAATAAATAAACAAAAACAAACCACACAACCTTCCTTTACCCCCCCCGAGTTAACCCTTTGTGTCTCAGACACTCCCCCTCCCAGACACTGTGGCTCACAGTTTCAGCAAGAGTCAGTGCTGTGAGCCCAGTCAGCAGGGATTGGTGTATCCAAGTGCAGATTTTTAGTGCAGTGACAATACTGAAAGCCACACTGCCTGCAACATCATCTCAGCCCACTGTAGTGCAATCAAACACAGCCTACATGGGAGTGGCAACTCTGCTCTGTACTGAGGAGCAGTGCAGCAGCATTGCCACACCATCACAGGAAGCTGCACTGGGTGGACTTCACTGGCAGGCTACTCAAATATTCTCGGGATTTTGCAAGTGAACACTATAAGTGCAGAAACACTATGTCTGTCTTCATTTCAAGCTGCAAAGCAACAAAATGTGACTATTTTAAATGGGGGTGATCCTTTTCTATACCCAATGTATAATTATTCACTGCAGCATATTTGTTTTAATGTGACGCCATAGTTTTACTTATTTAAGTTTATGTTCTCTTTTAAAAGGGATTCAATACATGCAACAAAGGAAGAGGTGTAGACGAATCGGTGTTGCCCATAGGGGTCTTATGATATTATGACCCTTCCACATCAATAGGAAAGGATCTCTGTCCTTGCAAGAATTGTATAAATCTAAGAGATTGCTGCTCTCATGCTGGGCACAACGGGGGGGGGGGGGGGGGGGGGGGGGGAGTTTGGACTGGCACTGGGGCTAGTTTATAAAGTAATAAAAGTAAGACATTTGGAAATCACACTTTTTTTGCAGCATGATGTAAAATTATTTTTGCTGACACTTTAATTGGCCTACAGGTAGAAAGCGTAGAGAACATTAGGTTTTGTTTCAGCAGATCTCTGACCTGTTGGTGTGGTGACATCCATAGGCTTCTCATTGGCAGGATCCTGAACTGTGATCACCAAGGCTAAACTGAAATCAGCTGGTGGTGTGCCATTCCCAGCAGTCAACTGCAGCGCTTTTGGCAACTCAATAGCATTTCTTCTCCAATAGACTGGGACCGGCAGACCTTCAGGAATCCTGGCCATGTTCATGTTGAAATTACTGACATTGAGGAGGTCATCAAGGACACTTCCAGCTAGGAGAAGGAGAGAAAGATTAGACTTTGGAGATACCACAGATCTTCGGAGATGTACTTTTATACATGGTCATCTTCAAAATTCCCCAAATAAGTTCCCAGCAGAAGAATATTTATTATACTTACCGCTTCAGTGGCAAGTGTCTCCTACCTTCCCTTGTCTGCGGAGCCACAGCCTCAGAATCTTTAACATTCAACATTTTTGTCAGATACCAGAATCCCCTTACTGTTCACTGTGGTTCCATCCACCAGGGGCGGGACACCGTGCAGGGGGCGGGCGGGACACCGTGCAGGGGGGGGCGGGGCGGGACACCGTGCAGGGGGCGGGCGGGACACCGTGCAGGGGGCGGGCGGGACACCGTGCAGGGGGCGGGCGGGACACCGTGCAGGGGGCGGGCGGGACACCGTGCAGGGGGCGGGCGGGACACCGTGCAGGGGGCGGGCGGGACACCGTGCAGGGGGCGGGCGGGGACACCGTGCCAATGTAGGGCTGAGCAGATGGAACCACTGAGTGCAGTGGTATACAAGGAATCAGTCAACCCCAGAAGCAATAAATGGTGATTCCATTTTGATGGAGGTTGTAGTGTTTCAGCAGAGTGAAGATAGGAGACATGAGCTGCCAGAGAGGAAAGTATAAGAACTTTACTTTTCCAGGGAACTGCCATTTTATTTTTTGAGTGGTGGGAATGGGGAAAGACTGTGGCGGTTATTTACTAAAACTGGAGAGTGCAAAATCTGGTGCAGGTCTGCATAGAAACCAATCAGATTCCAGGTTTTATTGTCAAAGCTTAATTAAACAACCTACGTTAGAAGCTGATTGGCTCCCATGCACAGCTGCACCAGTTTTAGTAAATCTTCCCCTCTGTGGGGATAGTCGGCCCCATATAGTGCCTGTAGCTGATGCTCAATAACTCACTCTTACTGCACCACAATCGGATATAAGAGTCACATGTGCACAGTAGTATATTTTATCCTAGCTACCACAGTACGGAGACCTCATTTCAGGTAGGTTTGGAGAATCTCCTTTGATATTAGTCAGCTAACACCCCGGTCACACTGGATGCGAATTGGCATGTGATTTGCATGCCATGCATGCCAAGTCGCACTCTATTGTCCGCAATTACAGCGGTCATATCAGCGTAGTTCCGACTTGGTCGGAGCCGCACTGATTTCATAAGTAGTACATGTGCTACTTTTGGTGCAATTTACATAAACATCTGTATCAGATGTCTTGCAAATCACACCTGAAATCAGCATGTCCCCCCGACATTGAAAGCATGCGACTTCATTGTAAGTTGCATGATTTCAAAGTCAGGCTTGATGTGACCGGGGGGGGGGGTTAAGGTGATTTTAAGAGAAGCATGGCCAAAGCTTGTTGTTTTGTATTACTTCTCCTATGGATCACAGGAGTGCAGTTCATTCACGCTGTGGCTGAGGTACAAGATATGAGACGGAAATAGTTCCAACCACAGAGGAACCAGCGTTCCAACCACAGAGGAACCAGCGTTCCAACCACAGAGGAACCAGCGTTCCAACCACAGAGGAACCAGCGTTCCAACCACAGAGGAACCAGCGTTCCAACCACAGAGGAACCAGCGTTCCAACCACAGAGGAACCAGCGTTCCAACCACAGAGGAACCAGCGTTCCAACCACAGAGGAACCAGCGTTCCAACCACAGAGGAACCAGCGTTCCAACCACAGAGGAACCAGCGTTCCAACCACAGAGGAACCAGCGTTCCAACCACAGAGGAACCAGCGTTCCAACCACAGAGGAACCAGCGTTCCAACCACAGAGGAACCAGCGTTCCAACCACAGAGGAACCAGCGTTCCAACCACAGAGGAACGAGCGTTCCAACCACAGAGGAACGAGCGTTCCAACCACAGAGGAACGAGCGTTCCAACCACAGAGGAACGAGCGTTCCAACCACAGAGGAACGAGCGTTCCAACCACAGTGGGTGTCGCCAGAAGAAAGCACGCAGTGACGTACCAGTATGTGGCTGTGCCTGTATGGGCTGCTCATATGCAGTATATTGCTGGTGGGTGGTCCGGAAGTAGTTAAAGTGAAAGTATACCTGGAGATAGGTTTTAATGAATATAGAGTGGCAATAATTTACATCTTCTAGATCTGCCTGAAGTTCAACTTTGATTAAAAAAAAAAAACAAACCTTTTGTTCATTTTTACTGCACCCCAGATTACATATAAGATCACATGATGGAAAAGATCTACAAGTTAACTTACTCAGTGAAAATGACTCTCTTAACGTATGTATCCCATCGCTTTTGGCGATACGCAAGCTGTAGCGCCCAGTGTCCTTCTCCTGCAGGTTTCTGATGGTCGCACACTCATTTTCACCAAATTTGTTGATTATGGACCTGTTCCTTTGCTCCTCAGCAATGTTCCAGCGGTTTCTGTCCACTTCCAGTAGACATTCTGAACCATGATCAAACTGACAGTAAACAATCTTGGACCTCGATACACAAAGAATCAGATCGATCCATGGGTTTTTCTTGACCTCTAGGGTGGAGGCATGGAAAGCAGTGACCGACAGCAGAACTGAGAGAGAGGAGAGAGAGAGAAAAAAAATGATGATGATATATACTAAAAGGTGATATTTGATGCAAAACATGTCAAGCTTACTTAAAGCAGAAGTTTACTTCTGAAAGGAAGAAATGTGAGCAGGCAGGAAGATTTGTACAGAACACATACTATGGGAGCAATTCAATAAGACATTTGTGATACATTCCTGGTGGGGAGAAGTCTTGTGCTAAATTCATGACAACCCCACCAGTTTTTCATTGTCACGACTGATGTATGTGATGTCAAGTATTTCTTTGTTATTCAGCTTTGCTGTGACAAATTCATCAAATACAGTAGAATATGGAGTGTGCTGGTTCTCAACATGCATGTTATGTACAGCAGAGTCCCTGGTGTGTTATGGCATATGCCATGTACAGTATTGGTGGTCCTCAGCATATAATGAACTCTGCAGTGTGGTGGTCTTTAGCCTGTAACCTACAGCGAAGTATGTGGCGTGTGGTGGTCCTCAGCATGTAGCGCACAGCACAGTGTCTGGGGTGGTGTGGCATACACCATGTACAGTATGGTGGTCCTCAGCATGTAATGTAATCTGCAATGTAGTGATCCTGAACCTGTAACCTACAGTGCAGCATATGACATGTGGCGGACCTCATCATGTAACATACAGCACAGTGTTCGAAGTGGTATGGAATATGCAATATACAGCATGTTGGGTCTCAGCACGTAAAGTACTCTGCAGATGCGATGCAGTCAACATGTAACCTACAGCATGGTGTCTGAAGTGGTGTGATCCATGCCATGAACAGTACAGCAGGCCTCAGCATGTAATGTAATGTGTTTGAAGTTGTGTGAAAAAATGCAATGTACAGCATGGTGGCCCTCAGCATGGATAGTACTGTATAGTGCAGTGGTCCTCAGCAAGTAATGTACAGAACAGGTTCTGGAGAGGCCTGGATTATGCAGTCTTCAGTACCGAGTGGTAGTCTAAAGCTTGTAATACACAAGTGCAGCATACAAAGTGGGGGAGCATGTGATGTGTAAATTACAGCATAGTGTATAAAGTGTGGTAGTATTCCTGTGCATGTATACACAG